GGACGTCATATCACATTTAGTGGATAAGTCAAGGGCACTTTCACTTAGATATTGAATCAACAATTCAGAGAAAAAATACAAGCACTTTCCAAAATGTTGCTCCGCAGTTTCTGTACGTCGTAGTGCTAACGAATCATCAGTGATGCACCTGCTCCAGTGCTAATGAAGCACGCACACACTGTTACAATCTCATCGTCACTTATCCTTTACGGATCAAAAATGTGCTCTATTTCATGTTTTTTTTCTTTCTCTGCTTAGTTGTGAGGAAAATTCCTCAATATATATTTGCCACCTTAGAAACGAGAATGAAAATCTTACCAGCATTTTTGCACATTAGTGTGTTACTTATCCTTTCCTTTCTGTGCCCCCAAATAACAGGCTGCCACATAGGAGATTAAAGCCTTACACGAAATAATGCATTTGTATCTATGCATATTAGCGTCATCTTTTCTTAGTTCGCACGCTCTTTCTGGGTCAGAGAACAAAAACATGATTGATTTTCAATGTTTACAATGACGTCTGCTGTCTTTAGTAACCGCTTTTGAGTTAAAGCTATATAGAAGAGGAGGTCAGAGTAGGAAAATTAATAGGTTGTGTCCCTTTTGTAATGTCTACATCCGCTGCCAGAATTCACGCGGAAGCAAAAAGTAGTAAAAGCTTAAATCAGGAGCAGCTAGTGTTTCAAAATCGTATCTTTCGTATTTGGATTTTTAATATCCCTAAAATAGCACACTCTTTCCGGGTCTGATAACTAAACCAGATTTTTAATGCATGCAAAGTAGCCTGTTGTTTCGGGTGAGGGGCAAAATTGTTTAATTACCTGTAAGCTATGAGATTTGAGAAAATCAATGGAATAAGGAATTCGGTATCATAGATTCGAGTGGCTGCATAGCAACCAATATTGCTAACTTTCTGTATAAACAGTAACATGATTTATCTCGAACGCTTGATTTTATGGCAAAGCAAAGAATGAGAGGGCGTAAAAGTACCAAACTAATGGTGAGAATGTTAATTAATTCTCTCCCTGTTTTAATGTCACCATCAATAATAATAGGCTACATCCCTTGAACTTTAGCAGGAAAGTAAAACTGAACAAAGAATTTTTCTTATATTTCTTTTTCGATTTTTGAGATTTGATTGATTACACGTTTTATAGCGAAAAGAAATCATTTTACGCTTGAATTACTTCCAGGGCGTAACGAAATCAGGGAAAAAAATCATTCAAAGTAAAAATACAAAACATACTGTTAAGTATTATAAAAGAAGACTAATTTATTATTGTAAATTACATAATCACCAAATGAAAGAAAAAGAGTAAAAGTAAAAAAAAAACTGCATCGTAAAACGATTATTAAGATGATTATTTTGAAGTAGATGCTCTCATCAATTCCTTTCTTTTTTCATTTTCCTTTTTGTTTTTCACTGAAATTGAAAATTCAAAATTGATATTGTTTGTTTCATGGAACAGGTAGATTTCATGTCTTTAGATCATGTGGAGTCATTTCGCTAACCTTGCAGAATAACTGTCTTTCTTAGACAGATTTTGGAAATATGATGAATTTTCGTTATTCGAAAGTTAATTTTTTCTTGAAGTACTCTGGTGAGTCAAATAGGTTCAAATGACTAATGTTCAAAGGGTTGCGGGTGAAGGTTACTGCATGATTGGCTTGGATTAAACAATTGTGATTGGTGCATTTCGACGCAATGTTCCCTCGGCTATTGGGAGGGAACCTTTTAAGGGGTGTACTTCGGGAAAAATTTGTACGCGCGCTAGTTTTACTGAAATCCTAACAAACTATACATCAGAAGAAAGCTTAATAACTGCACATTGCGATAAAAATATAATTTAAGCGACTTCTCTTTTAAGGAAGTGTCAGGAGACGGTGTCAGGTTCTTCTACTGAATTTATCGGGTATCGAATGCCGCAGCACGAGCAAAATGTCTGCACAATCTCATTCACAAGGCATCAATCAACAACAGTGTGTCAAGCTTTTTCGATATTCTGATGGGTTGTCTAGATATCGGTATCTGAAGTTGGAGTAGCTAAAAATATGCGTGGTGTCGCGTAAATGGACGTCACGAGACAAAATTTCAAATATCAAAATTTTCCGACACACTTTCGTTTGTTATTATTCACAGAATGTTTTGGCGAAATTTGACAAAAATCGGTCAAATCTACATACCCTATAAATTCGCTCAAAGTGGTTGTATTCCTCCCAAAATCTGATGCAAGATTTTAGCTCATAAAGGTTCGCAAACAACTCACGCCACGACAGGAGATTATCTCGTCTCCTCTTGAAACCTCAAACCAATAGGACAACGGGAGCTCCTGGCGTCAACGACGATGGATCAAGATTTCCCGAAAAAGTAACCCATTGCTGACACCTTTTTTTATATCTCGATCGCTCAAAGAGCGTTGAGGAGGACGACACAATAGTGAGCAAAGTTGCCAAAGGCAAAGGAAAACCACGGCAAAAATGGAAAAACCGGGAACCGGGCTGAGGAGCAAGACAACGAATCGACATACAGCTTTCAGAATTACGATTCGAGGCGATTGTTAATGTTTTTGTGTCAAGGCTGGTACTCGCATAAAGAAAAGGAAACCTTGTTTTAAACATTATGTGAGGCAAATTTTGGTTTGCCGGCGATTTCTTGTTCGAAATCTGGACAGCGTGGAGCCCCGCCAATACCTGTCGCTTTCACAAAGAAAGTTTTTTCCTTTCTTGACAGAATGATACTCTTTCTTTCTTCTTTGGGCCTGTTTTTTTTTTATCTTCTTTTTTTCCTTTTTTTACGGGGGACTTTCTTCCGCTTTTGATTTTCCATGCGCAAAGATTTTTCCATAATCGAATTTTGCTATTTTTTTAAAGTGCGAGATGTAAACAAAATATGGAAATAACTTGAAAATTGAGCCCCAACATGGGCGTTTGCCGTGAAATTTGCCTCAGGGGATTCCCCCTACCTGAGTTATTACCTTTTATTTGAAAATACGTTTAAATAAATAACTCGAGTGCTTTTAAAGATTTCAGAGAATTTTTTATGGAAACGTCAGGTTGAATGTTTGAATTCAGTTTAGTCAAATAAAAGGTGGGAAATAACCTTAAAAATAAAAAATATTGGCCGTAGACGAGGGAATCATCTCTTTCACAAAATGGATATCGCTCCTCTTTCCCGAAGACATGCGATCAGAGAAAAGTAACCAAGGGACACATATTGTTTAATTTAACATAAAATTCTCGGAGCTAATGTGTAGATACAAGAATATCTGGGTTACTTATTTCTGTTTACAGGCTTACGTAAAGTACACATTAACCAGACTAGTGGAGTCATTACCACGCCAAATTACCCAAACAACTATCCCAACTATATGGATTGTCTGCAGGCGATACAACTTCACCCTGCCATGCAAATATTCTTGTGTGAGACGAAATTGCCATGGAAGAAATAGAAGGTCGCCCACACAAGTACACGGAGATACTGGAGGGCAATTCTCTCACCTTTACCGTCAAACAAAGACATTGCGGAGTTTTCAATCGATATCTGACAGTCGAAACGGAAGTTTGAGCATACGAATCTTGTAAGACCAGGATAAAGAATTGAAAGGATTCCATTGTTGGTATTACATCCTCAAAGGTCAGTCAGCAGTATTCAACATTCACCATAAGAATTATATTGCTAAATAACTAACCTAATTGCCATATTTTGATGATGCATAGTGGACGATGAAAAGTACTTCATGTTTACACCTTAAGTCACCTCTAAGAAAAAGAGGTGTCCAACGTGCTAAATCAAATTTTAAAAACTATTTTCCGGATCAGGAATTCGACATGGATTTAGCCTAAAAACGAGAGTATTAAAGAGGTAAAAGTATAAGGGAGGGTTATTTCCAGGAAATTCCTGTACGGGATCAATTTTTATGAGGTGAAGTCATTTTCTTGGTAATTGAACATCTCTTAGCAACATAATGGAAATATACTGATATCTAGCCGCAAACCGCAGTTTACGCAAAAACATCTGTCTCTAGCTATGTCAAATTCACGATCATAATGAGGAAAAGGTAACCAAACTCTACCTGTAAGATAAGACCGCCAAAATGAATAAGAAATGATCAACTGGCTTATTACAATGTTTGCTGAATGGCTTATGCTAATATATTATTTCCATTTATTTTCACGCTCAAATAAGTCAAAAATCACCTATAATGAAAATTCTTGCTAAATGCCAATATTGTCTTTTAAAAGTATCCTTTTCTTCAGAGGGAACCATCGACAGTACCTAAAAAGGGAGAGTCCCTGTCTCAGTGAGTGTTTAGTTTTCTACACGGGGGTGCTCAATCGAAGGACATTTTCGATTCACTAGAGTATAGACGTCCGGTTGATCATTCCGTTACGCCATGAATTTCGCCATCAGGAAAAGTACTTCAGGCAGAATTTTAATGGAACAGTGACTCTGAAAAAGGCTTACCCCCTCCCAACACGCCCAAAATCAAGAATTTTTGAGAAATTTTTTCCCATGTCTCGAAAACCTCCACTGAAGGTGAAAAAAAACCACATTTGTGTTTTACGGCGTTTTATTGAGCGGCTACGCAACATAACCCTTGGCGAGCATTCAACAGCCCATTACGAGCCTACAAATAGGTAGATCCGGAATTTTTAATACGTCACTTGAAAACCGACAAAGATGCTTGCCTTTTGAAGTACGTTAGCAAGCCGGATGGATCATAATATTTTGACATTTAAAGAATTCATAAAAAAAAATAGTAAGCTGGTTGTCATAATTGCCTTTGTGGTAAATTACCGTTACGCGAGAAAATCGTTCATATATTGTATATTATCATATACTGTCTATCTTGCAAGGTTTCCAAAAGCATAAAATGACAGACAATAAAAAGAACATATGAAATTAGTCTAAAAAAATATCATCTGTTGTGATTATGAACAGTAACAGATACACTTTCAAACGCAATTTGCTTGAAACAATTAGCAGGTTTAATTATCTTTAATTTCGGATAGAGCAGCAATAACTCTTTATCCTAAAGAACTACACTTCAACACCAAAAACGTTGCTGAGGAGAGGCAGCGTCAGAGAACTTGACCTAGTCTTGGGGTGCCCATCTGCAAAAAAAAACAAACGGACCAATTTTTATCAAATGAGCTAAGACAGTACATTTTTTTGTGGAAAAAAATGAGTGGTCCGAATGGTCAGCTCTCTGAGTAGAACTCTGGAAGAATCACTGTCAGGCCAATAAATATGATTAAAGGAGATCAAGAAAGGGCATTATTTGATTGGTTATGCAAGACAAAAAATTTCAAACAGATAAGAGCGGGAAAATGATCTATATTTGTAGGATGTATAGTACAACGGCAGTAGTTTGTTGACAACAATAGAACGCAGCGAGAAAGAAGAGCAGAAAGGGAGCAGTGTGTACCTCGGTAAATGAGTTCTTTCTTCTTTCTTTTCAACTATTCTAATCTCAGTAATTGGTATATATTTGAACAAGTGGCAACAGAGTGTAAATTGATCATTGAATGCTTAGCTATGTTTTTTTGTTACTGACACGAAAAAGAAAAATACAAATTAAGGTATAACCGAATTTTCCATTTGAGTAAAATTTCCGATGACAGAGGTAAAACTCCTAAAATCTTTCGCCGTCAGGCCAGGATTTTCATTTTTACGTAAGGGATCCGTTACTTTCCTTCGAAAACAATGACAATACAATAGATGTATGTGAATCTCGTAAATCCAGTCACGCCAATTAACTCTGGTATTATTCCACCAGCCAATGGGAACGAGCGATTAAGCTGATAACTTATGAATCCGCGTCACTTCATTTCCGATTGCTCTTTTGCGTATAGAAGACAAGGTTGCAAAATATTTTAGCTTCTTTTGGTCGGCTGCGAATACCACAACCAACGGGAAAGATGTCTTCGGCTTTAGACAGCTCGAGCGGTAAGTCCTGATCTGTTACTGAAGCAGTCGAGGATTTGACACGGGAGGTGAAAAACCCGAAAGTCGGACAACACGACTGTAACTCTTGCTTGTTTGCATGCTAAACATGAGTGACCCCGAAGACACGTTCTGACTTTTTTAAAAGGCAGTTTACAGATAAACAATTTATTGCTCTGAGAATCGTTATCTATTGACCCTACAGATAAATGCAGTCACGAAATCGCTGAGTACTTAATTTTGATCATTTAGCACCGTTCTATCGAGTCATCCACGAGCATTGCATACCCGAGAAGTAATCGGCGCAACGAAGTACTTTAGTTAGAAATTGATCTCAATAACCTCGGCATACACAGTGTTTAGATTCAAGGCCTTATTTCATTGACGAAGTTCAAGTTCTATAACTCACGGAAATATTTCTTTGTTTCGAAATAGAAACTGGTCGCAGAAGAAGATATCGCGATCGGGTTGCGGACCAAGAAACGTCTGAGGAAATGGTAAATTGGAATATTTTACTAAAAATATGCATACTAATGAATGCCTCGTTGTTGCCATAAAAAACCTTACTCTTGCAAACGAAAGTTCACCTCGATTCTTCCTTGCCACATTTAACCCTTAAATATGTTTTCTAAACAACGACTATCCAGTTTAATCACCTATCTTTAACTACGGTTGGTGTTGAAACGAATTAATAAATGTGCATTCTTTAGGTGTGTCATGGCTCAGTCGACACGGAAAGCAAATCAATAGAAATCTGTGTTCCAGGATTTTTTGTTTCTTTTCGATGACTTTTATTCGTTTGCATAGCAAGATTTCTTTCCTTATCGATGAGTTTTGCACGCAAGTAGGTTTGGTTTTTAGCATTCATTAAAAATAACAATCATCGTTCTTCAGATTTTATCGCGGTCAATGGCGCAAGGTAATTCGATACAATTGTCACGACCTCAATCGAATGATTAACCACGGCTGACAAACTTTGAAGTCAGACGAACGATATCTTTTTGTCTAGTTCTGTTTTTTTCCTTAACTGTCTGACTGGAGATGGAATCTTTGTTTGAGTGTAAATCTTCAAAAGTTCTTTATGAAACTTATGGATCTCAACACATACATGTTTATGGTGTAAGAAATTTGTAGAGTTCCTTGCTACATTTACGCATAAACACTGTAGACCAACTCAATTTTCCTTTCGTAGGAAATGTCCCTTCAACTCCATTTTACATGTTTCTCTCCTCAGAAACCTGTTAGGTTACTGCACTAGGAAAAGTAATAAATCTTTAAACTCAGTGAAAATCCACAGTGGACAGAATGAATTGACTTAGGGCAAGTGTCTTGAGTTTAATAGGAGAGAGTTTACAAAGAAATACATAGATTTGAAGACTAAGAACAGTATCCTCTTCATAGTATATGATCACTGTTGCTGTTACTACTGTGATTCTCTGATACACTATAATTCGATATCAGAATGTGTTGAGGTTTGATATTGACTTGCACATGTACATCAACATGATGTTCTAGCTAAAATAGTTCTATGAGGCAATTTTGGAAAAATGCTGCACCTGCAGTTTTAAGATTGCATATTATGCACCAATATTTTATGTTCTGATCCAAACTCCTAAATTAAACGGCAAATTTCAAAGGCTAGATGCATTTTTTGACAACAAAATATCCTATGCACTTGATCTATTGGTCAGTTTTAATATTTCATGAATGTTTGAGAATTCGGTATCAGAGCATGTGTTGAGATTTTTTATTCACTCGCTAAAATTGCCCAATAAAGAACCCTACAAAAAATTAATGCTGCAACTGCAGCCTCAAAATTGCAGATACTTCACCTGTATTTTTTGCTCTTTTTCAAACCACTGAACTGAACTGTAAATTGTAAGTTCTTTGAGAAATATGCTAGGTACAATTTCCTCTACATTGGATATGTATACTGTAAGTCAGGTGTAATATTTCATGGATTTCAAAGTTACAACCTTAAGGAAAATCAAAGAAAGTAGTTAAATTCTTTTGAAATCATTGTGAAATTCAGTTTCCTTGCACTTTTATATAATTATATACATGTATAGATCAATGTTAGTATCTGGGCAAGTATGCACCTACCCTTTCCCCCAACCCAACATTAACCCTTACTTGCTTTCAGTTGATTGTTGTTGAGGCAGGGAGGGGTAGGGATGCAATTGCTTTCATATTGACACTAATCCATAATTATTTTCATGCCAATTAGTGAACCTACATCGATACATTGGTTTACTCTGATACATTTATATACAAGATAGTGCTCAGTGTTTATTTTTCTTTTAGAGTCTAGATTTTTTGGAGCATTCTTTCTTTAACATTGCATGTATACAGTTGTCTGTACTGCCACAGTGTTGAAAAGAAAAAAATCAATATTCACATTGCTTTAGGTGTTACATGGGGTCATGCTTCACTTCCTGTTAATTATTTTTTCTGTTTCAATTTATTAATAAAGTAGAAGGTTATTCTATCATTTACTCATCATAAAATCATTCTTGTAACTGTATAGAGTGAGAACAATATATAGAAAGTTAAATCATCTGTAAAAAGAAGCAGACTGTAGACCACAGCTGTGACATGGTTTCAAAAGAGGTGTTTATGTTACTGCAGAAACTTCTAGACAGTTAGGGAATGCTTCATATGATGTTCTAACTAGTGTGCAAAAAATAGTAAGAATTACTAACCTTTAATCATTCTTAGTGATTTTCTTTTGTTAAGTGGTCCTTTTCTCATAGTTCAATTTGAATTAAGCAGGCATCAGCAACAGATGCAGTGTTCCATCTCTTCTTGCTTCCTGCTCCAGGTTCCTTCCATTGTCATTAGGTAAAATCTTAATTTCCTTTTCAATTTAGTGGGGAATCTTGTTGTTCTTGTCAGGCAGTTTGCTAAGTTTGTTAAGAACCTTCCTGGAGGACAGTAATGAAATAACATTTTTCCGTGTGTTCCAAGTGAATTACCCTTGTGAAATGCTGATAAATTAGGTACCTACACTTTTTTTAAACACTTTCACTGATATCATGATGTAACCATCTTGTGCTATCACCTCATTGATTTCTAACCAAAAAACACTCTTACTATGTAGTTTAGATATCTCCAAGAAACAACATAACTTGCACTGTTCACTGTACTTTCAGTGCTACCAGAAGAACCTGCTTGTAATCTCATCTAGAGAGATATATTTGACTAATATCATCTCCTTCTATCTAGGCAATCTGTTTGTTTAGCTTGCTGTGAAATGTATTTTTTGTAGAATCTGTATCAAACAGAAGAACTGAAAATGCAGCATGAAATTACCACCCTCGTTATATCTCAGAGATTCAGGCAATAGAACTTAAAGATCACCCTACATGTGTTGTAAAATAAACTGATAAGATAGAAATTACTTACATGTTGTGTGTACATTGTACAGAATTTTCCTATTTGGGTAGAACTGAAAATCTTAGAATCTCTGCCTTCTACATGTATGTGATGGAATGTGCTTGGTTGACCTGTCTTCATGTATTCAGTTGCCACTCTACCCTTGCCTGATACTTGACAGTGAAGCAATCTAAGCCTAATGCATATATTTACATCATAGATAAGCTGGTGGGCTCATGGTGTTGCAATTTGATCCTCCCTCATTCTGTTCAACATTTTGTCATTTTGCACTTGATTTAGAGAGTTCTAATTGTGCCTTTGCTCTGTGCCTGAAGTTGACTGGTTACATGAGATAGTTTTAATGCTTATTTGCTGCCCAATTCAGTCTAGTAAGTTGGGAAAGCTGAGATGTGATGTAAAATGTCAATTAATGGATTTGATGTTTGTGTTGGCCTGTGACAGTAAGATCAATGGGAACAAAGGGCAATTGACTCTGCATGTTGAACAAATAAACTAAGGTTGTTTTGTTGTGGGGACCTGGGGCTGATGCAACCAGAGATAGAAAATAATGAATTTATAAGCCAGATTGTGAGCATTCCAAAGACAAGCAAATCAATACATTAGCAGACGCCTTGGCTGCTGATCTGTGCTGCTGTCCAAAAGCTCCACAACCTCTGCACTCCACATCACTGACAAAATCAAAGAACTCTCTTGCCTAGTCAAGATCTGCATCTTGTGTGTTGTTACTCCAGTAATTTTAAATTTCAAAAAGTGAAATGGAGGTATGTTAACAGTATTTTTCAGTGTGATTCATATGAGACAGTGTTCATGTTGTTGAGCAACTTGAATGTTATGGAGGCTGGGTCACTCCCTTGAAGTGATCTGTTTTCTAACTCCATTCCATATTTCTTCGAGAGTGTAATTGTGTGAGATAAACTAATGCTATGACTTCTTTACATAAAGATATTATGTTCAGAAGCAATGTTACTGAACTTAAAATTGTCAAGTCATCCTGTTCTTGTTTGACATGCGAGCTCACTGAGCTTCATTTATGTAAATTATGTTGTTTACTAAAGGATAATCTGTAGTTGAGCCCATGATCATTTGAAACATGCAATAGAGATATATCCTAAGGAATATCTTTTCTCAGTATTTGGCTGTGTTTGTGATTTCTCTGTGTCATGATGGATTTCCTAGCCACAAATGTTTTTCATATTAGAGAATGGAGCAGTCTGTAATTTGCCAGTTGTGTTACAAGAGGTCTCTTTGGTGAATTAGCATAAATCTGCTTAACTGAGGCAATCTGTTATAGCAGCAAGATTTCTTTGGTAGTTTGGCTGTGCTCTTAGTATTTATATCTCTAACAATATCCATGTCCAGCCAATTGTGACATTGTCATGTCACCATAGTTAAAATTGAAGCCAAGTGAAAAAGGATTAGCAACTGATGGATGCCAACCCACAAAAAAAATTAGCATTTTCCTCACAGCAGAGTCCCATTATGGATTATTTCCAAGCATGTTTGATCAGCAATGGTTCATGAGTTTTAATCTGCTCCCTTTGTGTAAGACCTTAGAAAGCATATCAGCTCTTGCTGCTTTCATTACAGGGTATTCTAAGAAAAAAATACATGAAACTACTATTCTTTTATTTTTTGAATAGCTTCATAGCTTCTGAAACTCTCTCATTTCTGTTTGTGTCTGTGTTAATTTGAAGTTTATTCGAGGTGGTCTTGGTAAAAAAAAGTATTTTAAAATGTTGACTAACCCATGCAGAGTTTTTCAGAGCAAACATATTTGAATTAACAATAACTACAAGCCTTTAAACTTTTATCTATATTTGGTCATAGTATTTGATTCGCTGGCTTTTAACATATTCATCTATGCAATGATTCAACTGAAAGGTCAAGCTGCTCAGTGACCCCACCCAATTCTATAGTACATTTCTGAGATATTTTCCTGGAGGTCTGTTCGCTGTCTACCATATTTTAACCATAAAATCTTTTAGATGAAATGTTAACACTTATTAAATGTATTCTTCACTAAAGTATTCTAACAGCAATCAAATAACTACAATCAATATAGAGCAGACAAGAGTATAAACCACACAAAGAGACCAGGCACTTTGATCATAGTGTGACAAAGCTGTTCTCTATTTATATGCTAGGTGGGCAGCTTTTAATGTTAATAGATCTAAGGTTGTTGAGCTGTTGACAAGAAAACCATGAACACTTCATTTATTTGTTCTTTTACTGTTGTGAATAAATTCAATGTTGTGAAGGACAACTGAAAATTTGTTTGATTTTGTGAATGTATGTTTAAGAATTTGGAAACATAACACAGATATTCTGAGTGCCATATAACTAATTTACATTTTTTGCTACACTGAACTTCTGTACCTAAAATTTGCACAGAGCCTTATTGCAAACTTTAAGTTTATCACCTATTCCATGTAATATTCTATTGTCTATAATTCTGTGTGATTGTGCTTCTAAGGAACGAGAGCATTTACCTGCTGTTTAGTAACTTATTTTTGACGTAGGAAGTTCATAGCCATTTACACATTTTGACCTCTGTTGCTGTTTTGTTTGTTTCTTTTTAATGTGAAAAATTTACTTTGAGCCTCTTAATTTAGGTCAGGCTTGTTAATAAGTTTTCAGAGGAATTTCTCTTTTATTGATATGTGTATTATATCAAGTCTGTTTGTGTTACAAAATATGCACTGTATACTGTGAAAAGCAAAGGGAAGAAATCTAAACCCACCCTCAGTATTTCAGTGTGGTACTAATTAACAAACATGTCCAATATTCATGTACATGTATCGATAGAATTTTATGGAATCATGACAATGTTGATTATTTAACACCCTGTGTACAGAAACACAGATGAATGTAGTGTTCATTTATTTTAATAATGTTCTGAAGTGCTAGTGACATTTTATGAGAACAGTCTTGTTGTAAATCATAAATTTAGGAAACTGACAGTCTTCCTTTGTATGAACTAGTCCTCCTATTATAACTTTTGTCCAAGTCTTGTGATGTGATGTAATAAACTCTGTTGATTCAGAGAGCCCATTCAGTGATGAGGCTGGTATCAAGAGAGGCCTTGATGTGGAATCTAATGATCACTGTCTTAAAATAAAAATTACTGATTAAAAACATTTCGACCATTTGCATGCAGTCCTTTTAGCAATAAATTTAAAAATGGAAGTTATGTAAACTTGAATCAAAATCAAAAAATTACTGCTGCCTTTACCTGTTTACAGTCGTGGTAATTGTAATGTAACACAATGATTTAAGGGACAATAAAAAGGATGGGCAATTAGACAAAAATGAAATCTTGATTTAAAAAAGTAATTTAGTTGTGTGCCGGCTGTTTTTCATGACCACAATTTTAAGAAACTGGCACTTCACAAACTTCTAATAACACATGTCAGAAGTTACTGTGTTTTGGAAACTCTTGGCTGATATTTTTTGACTTTGTCTAAAGTTGTGTACATTTTAAATTTCATCATAGGACGAGGCAGCCAAGCGAAGGGAACAAAGGAGGAAAGAGCGTGAAGCACGGCGTGCTGAAAGGGATGCAGAAGATGCAGCTGATGAGGAAAGGAGAAAGAAGGAGAGAGAAGAGCGACGCAAGAAGAGAGACGGTGGAGGTGGAAGAGGTGTGTGCATACTATTCCTCCAAAGATCTGACTACTTAGTTGAGGTTCTCATTCACAAGTTTTCTTTTTTATTGTCAAGACTGATAAAACTATGTAAAAATAAACCAATTTACTATGAAATCTTTTATTAAGCCAGACATTATCTGCATTATTATCACTCTTCTATTTGATATAGGATATTATACACTGAAAGCAATACTATACTCTAAGTGATATGCTAGCACATGTATTAGCACTTTGCTCATATAGAATAATTGATGGTTCATATATTATGTTTTAAATGGACTCAACACTGCCCTGTAGGTATTGTGGTGAACAAATTGTTTTCATATCTGAGGACATTCATCACTTTACAGGTTCATTAAGAACCAACAAAATCCTGAGCTCCCGGCTGGTTAACATAGTTGGTAGAGCACTGCAGATGTTATGGGTTCAGTTCCTGTACAGGCCTAAAATTTTTTCATATTTTTTTCACATGTAAGTAGTGTTCATTACTGTGATGATCACTCCCATCTTCTTCAATTTATGTGTAATGTTTTTGTTTCTTGCAGATGAACCTGCTGAAGAAAGTGCATCAGCACGCCGCCGCCGTGAGAGAGGTTGGCCAGTCTTAATTATTGCTTTGTTCCATTGACAGTAGTCTGGCTTTATTTGTTTCATGATTCGACTTTTCCTTTTGTTGGTCAACACCATTTATAATCTTAAAAGTTCATTTTCATTCTAATCACACTCCTTGACATGAGAGATGGCTTAATTCAAACCTCCCTCTTTTTTTCTGTTAGAGGAGGAAGAGAAGAGAAAGGCTGAGGAGGAAGCAGCAGAGAAAAGGCGCAAAGAAGAAGAAAGGCAAAGAGAGGAGGAAAGGCGAAAACAGGAGGAAAGGCGAAGACGTGAAGAAGAAGAGGAAGAGGAGAGAAGGAGAATGGAAGAAGAGAAAAACCGACTCAATCAAGATCATGTTGATGGAGATGAACAGGATGAAGAAGAGGAAGAGGAAGAGGAGGAAGATGAAGAAGAAGAAACAATCATTGACCGACTGAATCCCCAGAAAAAGCGTAAGTGTGAAATTAATGCATTAAGTATTGTGCAGTATGCACTGTATGAAGATAATGGTCATGCACCTTATCCAGGAAGGGTAAACTACATTATATCATGCATCTTTTGAAGGCAAATCATATTGGGCCAATCAAATTCTGAGCATATAAAAAAACCAAAATGAATCTCTTACAGTAGTTTATTGATGCTGATATGAAAGAGATTTTGCTCTCAGTCAAATGCCAATTTCAAAATGTCTGGTCCTTAATACTTGAGGATTTTTCGGCTGTCATAGTAGAGATTGGAAATTTAATCGCAGCATTCAATTACTTAAAGAAACGGCGAAAAATAGTACATTTGACTGTGGTTTCAGCAGCTGCTCCTCGCTGTCTCTGGCACATGAATATACAAGTACATGTATTTGCTGCTGTATGTATTATCTGGTAATCAAACCTGATTCAAATACTTGCAGCTACATGTACATGTATGATGAGGTACATACCTTTGTGCATTTAATTGTACTAGCATTTTTAGTGCCAGAAGTGAAATTTCTTCAGTGTAGTAAAAGGATATAAAAGTCTTCCATTAATTGCACAATTTGGTATAAGTAACCCAGAGAATGAAATTTGCTTGAGAAGAGAATACAGATATTCTTACATAAAAATGTGACCTTACTTTCAACAGAGGCAATTCTTGAGGGACTGGCTAATGAACTGCGTCGCATTGTTGAAGAGCGGGAAGCTAAGAATGAACCTGCTAGCAAAGAAGAACTAGATGCACTTGACCTCAAACTGCGCTCCCTTCGAACACAACTCCGAAAGGCTGAAGAGAATTCTAAT